ATTATAATAAATAATTTAAAAGTAAATTATTATAACAATTAAAAATATCAATATTACAATAATAAAATTTATTAAAATTTTAATCTTTATGATTTGTTAAAAATTTCGATTTTTATTCTTAAGGTTTTGAAATTATGATTTTTATCTTTAAGGTTTTGAAATTACAATTTTCATCCTCATGGTTTATAATTTATTATCTTTTTCGTTCTTATAAATTAAAATTTATTGTTTTTTTCGTTCTTATGGTTTACAAGTCATTTCTATTTCAATAATTCATACTTAAATGTAATGTTTTGGTCTCACGGAAGAAAATAAAAATGAATTGTAAATCACAGAGAAGAAAATCGAAATTTCAAAACCACAAGAACAAAATTCGTAATTTTTAACAAACCTCAGGGACTAAAAACATAATTTACTCTTTTTTTTTTAAAACAAGAGCAAATTGTATGAAAAGCAACTAATTTTAACTCGATTCTTATTTTGGGTAACGTATTTTAAAAACTTTTATTTTGGTATATAAGATCTAAAGTTTTAAATATTTAAGTACTCGGGTAACCGGTTGAAACATTAAACAGTTATCATGTTGATGTGGCGAGTGATGTGGTATCCGATTAATGCTTCAACAAATAATATTGAGTTGAATATCACATCATTCGCTACATCAGCATGAAAACTGGTCAATACTTTAACCGGTTACACGTATACTTAAATATTTAAAATTTTACATCTTATATACCAAAATAGAAGTTTTAAAAGTATGTTACCAAAAAAATCAAGTCAAAATATATTACTTTTTCATGTAATTTATCCTAAAAAGATCACGGTGAAGTCAGAAGCAAAATCTTTTAGAACAAAGTTCTACTTGACATAAAACCCCCCTAAAAGATGGCCGTCAAACTGTAAAATTGATTCAACCACCGCCCAAAATGGAACAATTTGCTCAATTGGATCTTCGCTTAACATATCCCGTGTTCATTCTCTCTCTCATCCGCCCCCCATTTGCCTTTCTCTGACCCATTCCTATAAACAAATCGAACCTCCAATTTAGTTTCCCTTTTCGTCAACAACTTCAATTTTATATACACCCAAATAAACCAAACGGATAATCTTTTCCTCTACTATTTCACAAATCTTTCTTTCTCGAAGAAAGATTGATTTTTTAATTCATGGCGGCGAGTGCAAACCCATCTGCAAATAACAACGGGTCAACCAGCAATGGAAATGGCGCCACCACCGTCAATAACAGCGGTGGTGGTGGTGGTGGCGCCGCCGCCGTGCAGGATAATTCGGTGGTCGGTCCTACACAGTCTGCTTTGAGGCATAATCCTGGTCTCTCAGTCGAATGGGCTCCAGATGAGCAATCCCTCTTGGAAGAGCTACTCACAAAGTATGTAATCCTTCTATATATTGTTGCTAGAATTCGAGTTTTTAGGGGTCAATTTGTTCTTTATATACTTTCTGGATGTGATAATTTTGGGGGGTTTTCAGTTCTTGTTGTGATTATTAAGTGTTGATATTTGATTTAGGTTTTCTTATAGTGTTGGATCTTGGATTTGTTGGGCAACTTTTTGTAATTGCTTGATGTTCTACATGAGATTTGTAGGGTTTTGTGCTTTGCATCATTTTGTTTCTAGAATTTTGTGGAAGTGATTTTATGTTAGATGATTCTGCTGAATCTTGGTGGAAACTGTTCTTCATAGTGACTGAAAACCCCAACTAGTGAAAAAGTTTGAGCGAAAAAGGTAAGAAGAACTAAGGGATTGTTTACTAACACAAATTGGGTAAGCGCTAATCAGATAGGAGGTTCGGTTTGGGTAAGCGCTAATCAGATAGGAGGTCCGGTTTGGGTAAGCGTTGCTTTCCTCACGGAGTCAGCATCTCGGTCAACATCATTTGTCGGTCAGAACATATGGTAAACAACCTCGTCTCTTACATAGCAAGAGGTTAGTGAACAACCCATAATACTAGTGAATATTAAGCAATAGAAATATAAGCCAAATCAAACAAACGTGGTATATGCCGCTCGAAAGCATGGTCAGGGAGGGGTGGGATATACACCGTCCTCACCTTTACTTCCAAAGGGGTAGAGCGACTGTTTCGGTGGTTTAAGTAGTATAGATATGTTTAACGTTAAGTCAGAAGCTTGGATGTTATGTCGAAAAGATGGGAGAATTGGACATCAAGATCTTATGAAGTGTTTGAGTCTTAGGGGGAATGGCAATGCTAGGGAATGGAAATGGGAACGAGCATCATTTGCCCCGCCCATCGTTGAGGAATGCTTCATTACTCGATACTCCCTCCTTCCCTTCCTCCCAAAATAAACGTCCAGAATGAATGAAAAACGCACACAATTTTTAATTAACTAAATGACAATTTTACTCTTAATAATAGAGGGAATAATAAATTTTCTATCTCATAGTTAATGGTACAATTGGAAAGTGAGCACATACTTTTGAAAGTGGACACGTAGTTTGAGACAAACTAAAATAGAAGTGTGGACGCTTATTTTTCTATGTTGCAAGGGTCCAATAGCTCAAAAAGGTTGCATAAGAGGGGACGTTTATATATATATATATATATATACACAGAGAGAGAGAGAGGGGGGGGGGAGGTTTTCAAACGAGAACAATAATTAAATAAAAGAATATGAAAACGGCCAAATCACGTGCAAAATCACATGTGATTTTGTGCAAGCGACTTGGGTCGCAGCCAAAGTCGCTTGCATTCCATGTGATTTTACACGTGATTTTAGTGTAAAATCACATGTAATTCGATTGTTTTCTTATTCTCTTATTTTGTTATTGTTCTCGTATGAACCTGACTCTATATGTGTGTGTGTGCACGCTTGTGTATGTGTAATATAAGTCTAACACCATAGTATTACATTAAATGATGTATCTTTGATAAATTCTATGTTTTCTGTTTAGATTCTTTAGTAATGTAAAACAAAGTTGTGATTTTTTGGCAACAGAACCAAAACACTTTTGGCGAAACTTTTCTTTTTAAGTAAAATAAAATGAGAATTTAAAAATAAAAATAGAGATCGTGTTTTATTAGTTTGGAAGCCCAACTTTGTTAGAGTCAAATAGCCACGTCTTTTCTTTTAATGGTGTAAACGTCAAAATCAAGTTGCAATCGGTAATTGTTGTTTACAAAATTTTGGTGAGCTGGTTTTGTTTTGTTGAAAATGTAAACGCCTGCTGAACATTATTTTCAATCCGATTTTCACTTTTAGAAAACTTATATGCAAAACAGACATAAATGGTTCAATTTTAAACCTATAACTCGGCGAATTTCATTATTTTTGTAGCTTTGGTTATTGTCATTTTGATCTCTCTCACACAAGGCGGTTATGATGTCATTTTTGCAGATATGCCTCAGATAGCAGTGTATTGCGTTATGCAAAGATTGCGAAGAAGTTACAAGACAAAACAGTTCGGGATGTGGCACTACGTTGTAGATGGATGACGGTATGATCTAAAAAACTTCTCTGGGCCATCTTCTTTTTCCATGTTATTTGCTGATTGTAGAAATTGAGTTCATATTCCAATTTGACTATAACGGTGCGTTTGGGATGCGGGCCGTGACGTACGGTACAAAAACCTGTTGTCCCATGTTTGGCACGACTTTTGACAGGGACAAGATAGGACCCGAGTGGGACAAAAATGCATTTTTTTCTCTCACCAAAAATAGCTGGAACAAAATGGACAAAATTGGTAAATTACTAAACTATCTGTGTCAAATTAAAACTCTAAACTTTCCACAATTATTTCCCCCACCTACCTCAGTCTCGCATGCTTGGTCATGTCCAGTCCCGTACCCAAGGGTGCGTTAAGTACACTGGACATGACAGGACATAATAGAACAGGGATCATTGTTCCAAGTTTGGCAGGACTTTATGGGGAACAAACATGAACAAAGTGAAACAATGTGGAACAGGCGTGTTCCACCCCCACCCCTTGGAACAAGGTGGAACAAACCTATATTTTACTATTATAACCTCAAAATAAAACCTAATTCTCTTCTATAACATCAAATACGCCTCCCTCTTTACATTTTATTCATTCTATAAATTTTGTTTATCGTATTTTATGCTCTCTAAATTTCCACTTTACTGTCCTCAAAAATATTATTTTATACAGTTTTTCATATTTTGGTTAATTTTTGCAAATTATTAAATATTAATAATAATAAAATAACATAGAAAATGTATAAAATAAAAATTGGAAACTACATGAATTTTGGTGTCATTTTAAACGACGACTTGAGGAAAAGTTTCTAATGATATATTTTGATATAAAAATATTTATTTTATTATAATTTAATAAATTACATAAATTAATCAACACATTTAGGGGTAAATTGGTCATTTTATTTGTTATGTTCTTTCTAGTTCTGTCTTGCTAGACGCTGAACAACTGTCTTGTCCTGGCCTGCCTGTCTTCATACCAAACACACCCTAAATGATAGTTATTTCAGTTTCTTGAACTAACTTATCAACTTTATAACACTCGACAACTTTTTATGCTTGCAAGTGCTTGCTGTAGTTGTACAATTTCAAGATTAAAGGTAAAGATTTCATGTTCGTCAATAAATTGAATTCCTCTTGAAATTACTTTTAGGCCTTCTAAAATTGTGTTAAGTATTTGAACCACACCAAACAAATCCAGTATATCCCACACAGAGGTAGGATCCTCATCGTTGGAGTAACTGGAAAACTGTTCTTAAATGCATTTCATATACAAGAGCTAATATTCTTACTCCATTTATGAATTGACTTTTATGGACAAAAGAACCATTTCTAATATAAAATTGATGTACTTCATCATGAAAAACACCGGAGTCATTAAATTATATAAGAGTATTGCTAAGACAACGTTTAATCTTCAAAATAAAAATTTGAGCAAAAGGTTGATTACCAGCAACCCCAACCGGCCCCACAAGGAACCCGCCTCCTAGGAACTACAGTGAGGAGTTGAACGGTTCAAGCTCGTCTCCTGTAGGATTCGAACTTGAATCTATTGTGTATTTGAACAAAGTCGTTGCGCTCCTTTGCCAACTGAGCTGCATGCCCGAGTTATGAATCATATCAATTTAACCAATTCTTTTTCAAACTAGTCGGGTATGCTAAAAATGAAACATAAATAAATTATAAAATGTTAATATAAATCCTTTATGGCATCAACAGTAAAAAAAGAAAAAAAGAAATCACCGTGCATCATTAATTTCTTTTTAACCTCAAGGGTGGTGCCTGATTGGTTTGAGCTTGACTCCGAAGGTCAAAAGTACCAGGATGTCCCAGGTTCAAATCCAAGGAGGAATAAAAATCCCCTTGTGGCCACGGAGGTTCAAATGCGGTGACTCCGGGCTATCTGCAAAGCAGGTGGTCGCCCTCAGGTTAATTAAAAAAAAGGAAGTTATTTAAATATTCTGGTTTATACTCTATTGACTATATCAGCTGTGGCTTATCTGCTTCTTTGTTTTCCCAGAAAAAGGAAAATGGCAAGCGAAGGAAAGAGGATAATAATTCATCAAGGAAAAACAAAGATAAAAAGGTGTGCTTTACGGATTTGGGACATATTTCTTTTTGTTTCTGGTGCTAATGATGATTGTTACTGTTTGATCTTTTAACACAATCGAATGCTCGATTAAGACTTTCGAGCCGAGCCAAGCCATACGAGCTTACACTTTTTGACCCCAAACATGTATGTTCATAAATCACACAATCAAAATATATGGGAAAAAATGTCATTGCTAGTGCTAGTCTTTCGAGCTTGAGCCCAAAACGATTTTATAAAGCTTGAATTTCAGGTTATAATGTGCAACCCTAAATTGTTAAACTTGAATCGAGCTCGAACATTAAAAAGAATTCGAGCTTGAGCACTATTTTGAAACAATTATTCGAGCTCGAGCTTGATTTTTCTTGAGCTGAGCCCAAACAGTTTGCTACTATCGACTCGTTAACACCCTAAGGTAGAGGGGAAGTAGCAAATATATTTTTTCTTGCATGAATTATATTACATAAAAGCAAAAAGCGCATTTCAAGTGTAATTACTGTTTTTTTTTTTGTCTTCTTACTTATAGGAAAAAGTAACCGAACATTTGGCAAAGTCATCTTCTCATACTACAAACCGTGCCAACGGCCCTCCATATGCTCAATCAGCAGTCTCTATGGATAGTGATGATGGTATCTCTTACAAAGGTTGGTGCATTAATCGATTATTATTGTTATTTTTATGCCCTCTTTTGTGAAAAAAATGCTGTATAAAAACCGAAATGATACACATACTAGTGGGACTCGAGATTTTCTTAATCTTAGGGGCTGTTTGGCAGTTGCTGAATGATTTTGTGTAGAATCATTAAGTGGTCAGAATGATTAAGAGGCTTTCATGATATTGTGCAAAATGAAATATAATTATTTGGTAATTATTTACAATGAAATTAGAGCTCTTAATGGTTAAGGGAGGCCTAGGATACAAAATCATTCAGAGGATTTTAGAACCATTAAGAGGCAGATTTTTTTTTTGCCAAACAAGATTCATCTCTTAACGATTCAGAGATTGCCTCTTAATGGAACTATTAAGAGGTAAACAAACAACCCCTTAGTTTTATTATTCCTATAACTTTTTAAGTTATAGATCCAAGTAATTTTCCAATATCATCAGTGCTACAAATGGATATCATAAAAATCATGATGTCCATGCGAGTTTGTATCCGTTTTTAAGTGATTCATACTTGCATCTGCTATAGGGAGAGTTGCATCTCGATATGGCCATATCCCTATCCTAAAGTATCTAATACAAACCATGTAAATGTTACACACCATGCAAACCAATCTTGGCCCTTGATTTTTAGGCAGTTGCCAAATCAGTTTTTTTTTTTTTTGAAGTATATGATATTTATATACGGCAAATAGAACAAATAAACTCACACACCCTCCTCACCTTTGGTGAGGTTTGAACCCTTGACCTCCTCACCAAATCAGTTGCTGATAAGGTTGAGAGGAAATTTTGGAACCGATTGAATCCACATCGTTGACATTGATATAATAATGTGCATGGATGATTGAGATTGGTTTGTACGGTTTTAGGATTTCAGTGGTTTGTATTTGAAACGGCCTCTGTGTATGTATGCATGTATGTGTGTGTGTATGTATGATCCATTTACACTCTTAATTTTCATGCTAATTCTTTTTATGGGTATTTCTTGTTGTATATTAATGTTTTCTTTCACTGAAGTAGTTTGTTTGACATCTGTAGCCATCGGCGGTACGGCAGGGCAACTTCTTGAGCAGAATGCTCAGGCCTTGGATCAAATTTCTGCAAATTTTGCTGCTTTTAAGGTAAATACATGTTGTATAGTTGAATTGGAATTTAGAACCATCACATTTGTGGTCAGATGGGCTCTAATTGAATTAATTGATATTTAGGCAATTTAAATTTGTATGATGCGGGTCCTATGTATATGGTCGAAGGAGTTATTGCGGGGTCCCATTTACAAAATACTGGATGGACCTACATATGCTTTATCCTAACTAGCTTTTCAAAGTTGATCTTATATGCATTTATGTAGAGGTCACGTCTGCATATATCTTACCCCTCCCAGATCCCACCTCCGGGTGGGATATATTGTACTCGTTTGGTTTTGGATGGACCCACATATGGAGAATGGAGCAAAACAACAAATTTTGCATCTAGAATTCTTAGAGTGATTGTGGGTCCCATTAGATTTAGTTTGTTAGGGTTTGGTCATACAGGGTGCTTTTGGTAAGCGCGACAGGACGAACAAGAACTTGTTGTCCCATGTTTGGCATGACAAAAAGATGCATTTTCTTCGTCCCACCAAAATAGATGGAACAAAAATGAGGGAGATAGGTACAATCAGTAAATTACTAAACTACCCATGTCAAATTAAAGCTCTAAATTTTACCAATTCTTTCATCCGCCTACCTCCCTTTTGCCTGTCGAACCCATAGGTGCCTGAACTGTTTTTACGCTCTTATTACATGATCTGGTTGATTTGGTTACCTAATGGCAGATAATTACTTGCAGTTGGTACCAAATGAAAGGTCTATTTTAATCCCCCATAGGGTTGAGAATGATGTTCTACTCTCTTTTGTGGCAGGTGCATGAGAACATCAATCTCTTCTGCCAGGCACGGAATAACATTGTCGCCATCTTGAACGAGTGAGTTGTCACAGCTCTTGATCCTTCCTCCTTGAACTGTTATTGGAAAATATATATCTCGTGTGTCGCCTTCCTGTAGATAGTTTGATATCAGTTTGTGATTATTAATCAAATGTCTAAAACACCCTTCTAGGGGCGTTGATTTAGACCCTCTTAGATGGCTCTAAGTGGGTATAAGAAGTGATTCGACCCGAAACTTAACATTTGTATGAGACCTGATTATCACTCTGCCACCTCCAAGGTTATAATGGGAATCAGCCCAATCTGTAATCATCTTCCTAGACTGGATTAGAGATGCACAAAAAAGCCCAAGCTCGAAGCCCAGCCCAGGTCCAGCGTGAAAAAGCCCGAAGCCCAGCCCGAGGAAGGTCTCAATGCTCGAGCAGGCTGAAATTTTGGGGGCAGGCCTGGGCCTAGGTGCGGCCTGGAAAGCCTGGTTAATCCCGATTAAGCCGGGCCTGAAAAAGCCCAACCGGGCCCTTCTTTACCCCAAAGACCAGCCCTGGCCTAAAAAAGCCCGGACCTTTTTCTTTCGGGCCTTATGCATCTCTAGAGTGGATCCCTTTTTTTTATTTTTTTCAACGAAACTCAATAAATGCAACTAGATCCCCCTATGTTAGGCTTTTGAACCTCTAATTAGTTTAATTTCTTGGTATAATTATCGTTGGGGCCAATTATCATTTTTACTGCTTGGGTAATATATTAGAGAGAGAGCAAATAAACTCACACACTCTCCTCACCTTTGGTGAAGTTTGATCCCTTGACCTCCTAGGAGGACAAAGGCCCTTTGATACCCGACCCTGACCCTAACCCTAACCCTGATCCTATCTTTGTGTGGGATATATTGTGTTGGTTTTGTTTTGAGTGTTCTTTCGGCTATTTTTCAAGAATTGTTGTGTTTCTTTTGCTACGAGTTTCCTTTTTCGTTGCACTTTTCAGTCACTTGATTCATCTAATTCCATGTTAATTGCAGCTTAAACGACATGCCGGAGATAATGAAGCAGATGCCACCGCTTCCCGTGAAGCTTAATGAAGAACTCACCACCTCCATGCTTCCACATTCATCTTTGCAGAAAAAATCTTGAATCTTTTTCAACAAAAACCGAAACTTTCACATCCTAATTTCACCCTCCGATCTTGCTCAGTTTCTTTTCGCTGTGATACGAAAGTAGATCTTGCTTTCCAGTGTGATCAATCAGATGCAGTTTGGTTTTTCACTTCAAACCTGGAGACGATGATGTCGTTTCCAGTTATTTGTCGAAATGTCGGTCTTGAGTCCTTTTGTTCCCGGTTACTTGTGTTTTCGTGTTAGGTGTTCTGTGAATATGTGTGTAGTCGTGTCGAAGGAAGGATTCTTGGACTCTGTAAATTATCATAGGATCGTCTGTTCGTCTGTCGAAGGCATTACAACGAAAGGGAATGTCCCGTTTAAGGTTAAATGAAGTTCAAAGTTTAGATTTAAATGGTGTATTTGATATGCAGAAAAGACTGGAGATGCGCATGACATGACTAGACTGGCGAGAGTGAGGTTGCTGCCTGAAAGAAATGTGCAGACTGGGTAGTTGTGTAATTTACCAATCGTGTTTATCTTTCTAATCGCTGGTGCACGTATTTTGGTGGGGGGTTCCTTTTGTCGCACTCGGGCATGTCTCCTCCCGGTCTAATGTTGCATCAAACGTGGGGAAACAAGTTTTTTTTTTTTTTTTTTTGTCTCATCCTGTTCCGCGTATCAAATGCATCTTAATTCCTAAGTATTGAGTCGGGGACTACGAATCTGGTGTATGGCAATGAATGGAAAGCAAGCCCTTGGAGCGGTTTTCCGATCCTCGAAAAAGCGTAAAAGAGAGCGTAAATCGGTCACTTTCTTCAGAGTTTGATGTTTGGTTGACTAAGGACCTATTTGTTAGTAGCTTAACAAGACTCGAAGCTTATTTGGTCAGTTATATGTTACTGGTAATGGCTTAATGATATAGAAAATAACTTATTCAGTAGGCTTCTAGGATGGAGCTTTATGTAGAAAGCCGACCTTTTTTTTTTCCAAACATGCCTCTCCCAACTAAAAAACACGCTCCTATCTTTGAAAAAACTCTTCCCGAAAAACTTTCTCAATCTATATGAGATTGGAATAGAATTCAATTCCAAATCAAAATCTGATTCTTCAAACCATTTATCATCTGTAGGTACATAAACAAGTTGAATAGAAGTTATGGACCTTCACTTGCTTACCTCACTTCTCCTTGTTCAACCTCGTCTTATCCACTCACGTCGCCATACTAAACGCAAAAGTGCTTATTACCGGTGTCACACCGGAATAAGTCAATAAATTGTTTTTATAAGCAATCCCAAACACCCCCTTAGTTTTTCAGTTATATTATATGCTTAACCAATTTTGAACGACTTTGTTATATTGTATGATGTATAATTTTAGTCCTGCGTCTTTGCATATAAATACGAATTTTGTCCCTAAGCTTCAATAAGTATGTAAATGGTTCTTATAGTTTGAATTTTGTCTTCAAATGGTCCCTATAATTAACTCTGCTAAAAAAAAGTTTGTTAACTGAGTGGCATTTTTGTCTTTTTTACTTGTTTCTTTTGTCTTTTTCTATTAAATAATAAATTAAAACATTATATATTATGTTATTATTATATTATATGTTATATATGGTATAAATATTATATATAATATAATAACGTATAT